CCCTCCCCTCACAGAGACCCTCCCTCACAGCGCCCTCCCCTCACAGAGACCCCACCGCCCCCTGCCAGCGCTCGACACCTGGATGCAGAGGAACAAAAAAAAGTAAGGGAAGTTATCAAACTTCAGTCTTCTCCCCGCCCTGTGGGGAGGAGCCGTGGGTGTCGATGAACAGGCTAATACGCCGTGGTCTTTGGGAGTGCTACAGAGCTCCGTGTTGATGGTAAATCCCACAGAAGTGCCTCCTGCCCTGGAAGCAAATACGGCTTCTCTGGCCTGCATGGCACCATTTGTGTTAARCCAGGTTTGTCCTTAGGATCACACATTACCACAGTGGCCAAGGTAGAGGAAATGGGTATGAGTAAGGTAGAGGTCATAGGTTTGYATCTGATTGTTCACCCTCGAGGAAATCAGTACAATGGATAGAGAAATGTGCAGTTCATGAAAGCAGGTGAATCAGCAATGTGCTGCTTGTGGATTTTTCAGGTTCTTAACAAGAACTGTCCTGAGCAATGGAGTATTTCCCACACCAAAGCTTAACTTGAACATGTGGCAGTGCAGATATTCACTGCTCTGTACTCACCTTCAGCATCCTAACAGGCCAGGTGTCAGCAGGATTAAATAAAACAAGCAGGTTCRGTGTCACCCTAGAGGCAGTAAATTCTAAAGTTTCAGGTGTAAATGCTCCCTTTTAAAGGACATTTCTTTATTTGTCAAATAACCCTTATTTGCAGTGTGATTCACAGTTGAAAATCCTTGAGGGACTTGGACATGGGCCCAGAGTAATTGGGAAGACAAATACTAGTGTGAGAGCAGTGCTGGAAGCAATCCTGGCATCACGACTCCTTGAAATCTACAAAACTCACGTAGATTTGACTGCTTCAGAGGAACTTGGTGTGATACCTTTCAATCTGGCTGAGGCAGGCGTTTTTCATACAAAATCAGGTAAGTTGCAGACGTGGACAGCCAATGGCATCACCCAGGACCTTACAGTGGTAAGTACCTGCTCAGTTTTCCTTCTGTTCGTGGCTCATGTACATAATGCAGCAGCTTGCGAGCCTTTGGCTTTCTCCTGGAAGTTTTTTGAGGTGTAGCTAGAAGAGCTATTGCACTGTCTAGGGAAGGTGGTTATATCTTCAGCACTTTTACAGACTGAAACATTCTTGGGAATAACTAGAGCAATGGTCTCTTTTAACATTCAAAGCTATCACCTTTTCCTGTGATCTGTGTGAGATGGCAGAGTGAAACTGAGGTGAAATTTTAAAGAGCACACTGAGCACTRCAGAAAGGGGTCTTGAGAGCATGGTATCTACATCAGTGGATCTAACCTCTGTGCATTTGATAGAGAATGCAGCAAGTTGGTGTCACTGGTTCAGCCCCTTTTCCCCTTCATGGTCATGCACTGCTCGCTGAATAGTTTTGTTTCCCTTTGAAAAGTTCTGGGGAAAGTCCTGTAAGTGATGATGGATTCTTCAGCTGCGCTTTCAGACAGGCAGTTGGGCCACAGCTTCGAGTGTGCCTGGGAASCTGTCCTTGCTGCAGCATCGTGCCTGGGGGCAGGCTCAGGAGTAAGGCATTGACTGTGGATGGCTCTGAATGCATCCCTGAAACCTTGCTTGGTGGCCAGTGTGCCCTGCTGTCCTGCTCGTACAGCTGGTGAGACAAACATGCAGTGACAAATTGTACTGCAAGGTTGAATACCTGAGGGTTGTATTTTACAATAAAAAAAAAAAAGGAGAGAACCAATAGCCAAAATACATTTTATTAAATTAAATCCAGTCCATTTGATAAAATACAAGCTTATTATATTACCAATTTGTTTAAACCTGGGTCTTTTTTTTAAGAAATACAGTCAACTATGAAGAGATAATAGACAATTTCCTTTTTTCTTTTTTTTTTCCTTGCTGTTAATAAAGTCCAGGATTGAAATGAACTTAAACTGTTTGAACAAAACTGTTAAAAACATTATAAAGAGATTAAACAAGCAGATTGAATTCTTAGAAACATCTAACATGCAAAACTTTTAGCACAGTTTGAATGTTTCAAATGAATTTTCTGAAAAATGAATCTCCTGAAAAATCGTTTTGGCAAGCACTGGGATTACTGTAGGTTTCTCCAAGGATGAGTGTGGGAAGAGCCATCCCTTGTTCCAGCCAAATGCAGCTTACTGCAGGTGGTTCCCTATTCTGGTGGTTGTGTTCGGTCCCACTGTAGTGAACAGGGATGGCACCATTAAACTCTCACATAATGCAGTGAGAAGATGCTGTCTGCATATAKTCCAAGTACAATTCACATGCCAACAGCTCAAAAATTGTTCATATGGGAATTATCAGCAATGCATACCTTTTTGCAGAATCCCCAAAGTGCATTAAATCTGCCTTAGACTTCMGCTAGTAGGAAGGTCAAGAAAAAAATCCTCCTGTGTTAAAAGTCTGTTTCATTACAGATGAATGAATATCTAATCACTGTTCAAGTCTGAGGATAGTTTCCCTTTGTTCTAGACAACACACACGTGTTGTAAAMACAAAGTAGAAGATTTTCAATTTTTTTTCCAAAATAATTAGTAAATCCATTAAATAAGCAGTAGACTAATTATGTTGCATAAGTAATTGAAATAGAAATTGTAAAGTCTTGATGAACAAAGGCTAAAAAAATGGTTCCTTAAAACACGTGTACCTCAGCAAAAGTTAAATGCGCAGCAGTCTAAAAAAATCAGCTTCAGAACAATGACACTTGAAATGGCCTATCTTAAAAATGACAGATGGCTTACATTCTACATTACATTTTTCTTTAAGAAGAGTTTCTAAGTAACATTCGCTTGTGGTTGTTCCTAGCATTAGCATTACCAATATACAGGCAATAATTTAGGAATTTCAAGGCAATATTTTCCACCTTGCATATGCAAAGAGTTAACATTTATTAAAAGTATAAGCATATCCTTTTCATTAAAGGATCACAAATTGCTTTAGGTAAAATCCATTTATACACTATTTACAGTCACCCTAACAGCTATACAAATTACGTAAGTACCTTAGATCCTCTGGAAGAGTCTGGTGGGTGCCTGGCTGCACTCCTCTCCAAACCAGTTTGGTGCATTGCTGTCAGGGCTGTCTCCTGGAGTTCAGTCCCCTCTTGCTCCTGCACCAGCTCTCAGATTTTGTAAAATATGGGCCTTAAAGGCCCAAGACTCTGCATGTGGCAGATTTATTTTAGAGTTCAATGACATTGGCTTCCCCAGGTTCTAAAACAACTCTGGAAGTTCAGATCAGCCCCTTTGAAGCTGTAATTTCTGGTGATGCCATTTGAGGYCCTACTCCCGAAACCCCTCAAGAAGCTCAGAAGTCAGCAAAACTACTCCCTGTCTTTCAGTGGCCTACTTAGAGGGTGTTGTTAAATAAAACAGGTTTGGGTTTTAATTATCCATCCTACTTGCAATTGTTTTCCCTCCTACCCTGTGTATTTCTGTGTAGGGATGTTGCCTGCAATCCTGCCTTTGCTGCCCAAAGTCAATCTCCTAATGTGACGCCAGCTGGCATAGTAATGAACCTGCTCCTGTGAAAAACTAGGTCACTCCTTGCAGCRTGTTTTGCCAGTTCTGAACCAAGCGCTTT